ACGGTAGTGTCATATGCTTGGTTGGAACTTCGAGTTATGTTCGACTTATGTTAGCTTCGGTAATGTCATATGTCCTGGTGGGAACTTCGATATGTTGTATTAAGTAGCTCAGAGTATGTCATATGCCTGGGTGGACTCGATATGTTGATTATGTAGCTCAGGGTATGTCATATGCTTGGGTGGACTCGATATGTTCATTATGTAGCTCAGGGTATGTCATATGCTTGGGTGGACTCGATATGTTCATTATGTAGCTCAGGGTATGTTATATGCTTGGGTGGACTCATTATGTGACCTTGTTACCTAATTTACACCCTAGAGTTGGGTGGACTTACTATGTGACCTTGTTATCTAATTTACACCCTAGAGTTGGGTGGACTCGATATGTTCATTATGTAGCTCAGGGTATGTCATATGCTTGGGTGGACTCGATATGTGTCCTTGCTACCTGATTTACACCCTAGAGTTGGGTGAACTTACTATGTGTCCTTGCTACCTGATTTACACCCTAGAGTTGGGTGAACTTACTATGTGTCCTTGCTACCTGATTTACACCTTAGAGTTGGGTGAACTTACTATGTGTCCTTGCTACCTGATTTACACCCTAGAGTTGGGTGAACTCACTATGTGTCCTTGCTACCTGATTTACACCCTAGAGTTCGATAAAGGCTAGGCACGAATCACGGTATTTCGTATCTAAAATATGTAATTTTTTTTCGTTTATACAGTGGTTTTTAATGTCACATTTTCGTGGATTTCAGGGAGCTGAACGTAAAACCCGAGATGAAGAACGAAGAGCGGCGAAGCGAAAACTAAGTGCAACAGGAAGTTAGTGTCAATACTTGATTATTATTTTATCACATGAAAAAGTTGACTAATATTTACATTAAACACAAGTAACAAGTACATTGTTTCAGCGTTCTTATTATAATAACTTATTAAATTATCAGTATATGAAAGTATAAAAAAGAAATAATGTGCCAAAATTCTTGGCTGTGAAATATATGGTTGTTTGACTTATATTGTTCGGAAGAATTTCTCGTGAAATCCAAAATTAGCTCTTGTATATTTTTGTTGTCTTCCCCCATTTATCTTTTTGTAATAATTTAGATACCGTTTTCCTATTCTGTTGTAACGGATTATGGATGGAATGAAATCTGCAGAAATTTCTGAACATTTTATAATAAGATATTTTTATATGAAAGAAAGATAAGCACAAATTGATTAAAATTATGTGTTTAGTTTTAATAACTGAACATTATACAGGTATGTTGATCAAGTCAGTATAATTTGTTTCAGTAGAACTTTAACAGAGTAAACTCGATAAGTCTGAGATATTTAATGGACTGCAGCATAGAAGCCGAAAGTCATTCAACAGGAAGTTACAGCCTTTTAAAAAGTTCTCATTCTTACTAAGTCAATATAACGATACACTGTTAAAATAGTTTTTGACTTTGGCGCCATCTATTGAGAATCGTAAAATGCCAGAGATAAACAAACGGTAGTGTTGAACTTTGAGTAAATTGTATGGTTATGTTATTACAACACAAAGGTCATATAAGAAGCCAAAGTTTTCTTCCAAAATAAAGCGATTAATATCGTTACTTTCATTTGGTAAATAACTTTCTTTAAGATCTAATCCTTGCCCTCACTCACAATTGTAAGCTAGTTAGTTATTCTTTATCATATAATTTAGATACTAGAAAAAAAATGGAAGAGATGTACCATCCACCGTGCGACAGATCAGAGTTCTACTCTATGAGTGACCTGTCTAAACCCCCAGCCTTCTTCACTCCCACTGTCGACTTGGAAAAGATGAACCAGAACAAGGTGATTAGCACTTTCCATTGTATAAACATCTCTATAATTAAACCTTTCCTTGTGACAATTTGTAATCATAAATTTTACAATCGATTTAGTATCCAGTGTTCTTTAATTACTTCTGATGTTATTTATTCAATTATGTATCCTAGCAACTTCTGGTAGTTAGTTGCATGTGATAATTTTGTTTCATCTGATTCGTCTAGTTCAGGTTTCATTCTTCTAACAAATCAACGCTGCTTGTTTGTGACCTACATACAGATCGTCTAAGCCTTTTTTTTTTTGGCAGGCAGCTGTTTGGGATCATTTAACTTAATGTTCCTTGGCCTGTATGTGAGTAACAATAAATACATTGTTGAGAAATCCGTTATTGTTCCGGTTTAAGTTGAAGGTGATATTACACTCGTGTGAGCATGTCCTGGCGTTGAATTAATAACTTCTGTGAAGTCAACAACGAGAATTCCCGCAGCTTAACTTTCTAATAACTTCTGATTTTTCCCGTGTTTATGCCATATGGAAACTGGTTAACACCAATTTATCGTGTATTGTAAGCTCTGAAAGTTTGTGAATTTTGATTGTTTGGTCATTTCTTTAATGGTTATTTATAATATGTGATAATGGTAAAGTATCAATATTATCCTTGTGTAAAATATCCGACAATTTGATTTATCGTCTATATTGGTGACTATGGTACTGTCATTATAGAAATGCAAAGTTTATCAAAACAACACTGTACATGCAGCATAATGGCAGGTTTACTATGTGTTATCATGTTAAAATAACACTGTACGTGCAGAATAATTACAGGT